AGTTCGAGCACCAAGACTTCCCCTGCCAAAAAGCAGGGTGCGAGCGTCGAGGGGCGGACTTTGATGGAGAAAAAACAGCATGCACCCGTGATGGGGGGATAAGCAATTATTATTCTTCATAAGTGAGAGTTCAACAACTCCTGCCTGATTCGCCCTCACAATATATCAAAATCGCGCTCTCGCGCGGCACATCCTCACACTGTTTACAGGAATCGCGCTTTCGCTTGGCACTTCCTCACAATGTATTCAGACGCCGCGACCTCGACACTCAGGAATCACGCTCCCGCTTTGGCCTTTCTCGCGATTTACTTGGGAATCGCGCTATCGATCGAGACGTCCTCGCAATTCATGCACGACTCACGCTTCAGCACCCCGCCTGCTCGACCTGGCCGCCTGGGCCTGCCTTGCCGACCCGCCCACAAGGATCCGCCCGCCCGATCTGCCCAGTTCGTTCTGCCACGTGTTTTCTGCTCCTGGCCCCCTTCCTGCTAATCTCCCTTGTTCTCCATCCTTTTCCCTCTCCCTTCCACCCGAAGCTCTTCCCTTGTTTCACAGCCTGCGCTCATTGCGCGTGACAGGTAAGGAAGGTATACCCCCAAAGGAGGTACGACCGAAGACGAAGAAGGAGAGTACCGAGGGCTTGGGATATATGTGGTGAATGGCACGCACGCAGATAAGAATAACCAGTATTAAAATGATTGTTGTTGTTGAACTCTCACGACTGAAGAATGATTATTGTTGATCTCCCCCTCCGGTGCACATTGTATGTTTCAATTGAAATGCCCCTCCCGGCGCTCGCACCCTGTTTTTTTATCCGGGAAAATCTTCCTCCTCAAACTGTGCCCCTGGCCCCCGGTTTGCAACAACAACGGCTCCCGCTTGATAGTTCCTCGAAATTTACTCAAGCATCGCGCTCCCGCCTGAGACTTCCTCGCAATTTGCTCAGGCGCCGCGCTCTTGCCATTCAGGAGTCGCGCGTTCGCTGGGATCCGCCCGTTAGGGTCCACCCGCGGGTCTGCCGCTAGTTTTCCGGATCCTCTCTTAAGCCCCCCACCTTCTAATCTCTCTCGTCCGCAGATCTGCTCCCTCCCTCTTGTCCCTTGCCCCCCTCCCTTCCCCCACTCCTTTCCTCCTCGTTTTTTGTCTCTCTCTCTCTCTCTCTTTTTCTCTCTCTCTCTCTCTCTCTCTCCCTCTATTTCTGTCGTTTTCTCTCTCTCTCTCTCTCTGTCTCTCTCTTTCTCTCTCTCTCTCTCTCTCTCTCCTTCCTCACTCCTCTTGCTCTTTCGGGGGCTGCGCCCAATACACGTGGCAGGTCAGGAACATGCACCCCCCAGAGGGGGTACGATCGAAGACGACGAGGGCGGGTATCGGGGGCTTGGGATATACGTGGTGAGGTACGCGTGAGCAGATAAGAGCGAACAGTCGTAAAATGATTGTTGTTGCTGGTGTTCTTGATGTTGTTGTTGTCGTCCTCGCCCGCGCCCCTTTGGCGACCCACCCCGCGACCCACCCCGCGACCCACCCCGAGACCCACCCCGCGACCCACCCGCGACCCACCCGCGACCCACCCCGCGCCCGCACCCTTACTCTTATCCGCTATTGTGGGGTGTTACGTAGTAGGGGTGGTAATGGTAGCGGCAGTAATAATATCAATGGTCGCGATACAGATAATAATCGTCGCTGTCGTCCCCGATCCACGTGTCCTCGTCGTCGTGGCCGTGGCCGTGCTCGGTCTTCCCATCTCCCCACCGCGTCGTCGCGGTCGTCTTTTTTCGGCCTCGCCGTTTTTTTTCGTGCTATCGCCGTCTCGCCGCTGGCTGTGAGCGTCGCTGGACGTCGTGGTGGTGAGAAGGTCGTCGCTGCGCCATCTTCTCCGCCTCGCCCCCCCGCTCCCCTTCCTTACCCTGCCCCCACACGCCCTCCTCCTCCTCCTCCTCCTCCTCCTCCTCCTCCTCCTCCTCCTCCTCCTCCTCCTCCTCCTCCCCCTGCCTCCGCCCCTCGCCCTCCGCCTCGCCCTCCCCAATGGGGGCGGCAGACGCGCCGATGGGGGGCGTGCACAAAAAAAGTGCGCTGCCTCACCGCAAGGAGCCCACAACTGGCCGCTTTGATATATTTTTATATATATAAATCATGGGTATATATATATAAATCATGGGTATATATATACATATATATAAATCATGGTATATATATATATATATAAATCATGGGTAATGCTGCCCTGCGCTGGGGCTGGCAATCTAATCGGCATCGGTCCCGCAGAGGGCACGACGCGGCGACACCCTGGCCCGTGGTCCAGGTATCATGGCTCCCTTATCACATGGATCATGCCATGGCGAACGTTTTCTTGATCGGCGTCTCGACATTGGGCCAAGAGGGGAGAGGGGGGGGTCTGACTCCGGACCTCTGCTTCATGCAATTGCTTGAAACAATGCGTTCTACGGGGAACAGCTCCACCGGCTGGAAAGTTGCCCCCCAAAGCCGCGAAGATCTACTCCACCTGGGGGGCGGGGCGTGAGGGCCCGCGCCGATCGGCAAAACAGTGAACAAAATAACGATCGCGGATCCATCGCTCGCCTGCCTGGAGAAGCGTTTGGCCGTGGCTAGCGGTTCCGCGTGCGTGTTGGCGGGCGCACAGAGCCCGGTTTCCCGCCTTGACGGCGCGAGGCCTCTGATCTGTCCCGTCGGCGACGGAGGCCGCGGCAGTCCGCTCCAGCGCGGGGCCCATCGGGGCAACCGAGGGGCGAATTGTCCGGCGTGCAAGGGGAGGGAACGACAACGGGGGCGGGCGCGCTAAAAGGGCGAGGCCTCCGAACACTTTTTTCGTCCGCGGCGAGGGGGCGAACTGCGCTGCAGCGGGAAGCTAGACAGGGGCACTAACTAGCGAATTGGCCGGCGGGCAAAGAGAGGGGGGGGCGGCCGAGAGGAAGAGGGGACGCTCAGCTCAGGGGCAGCCGGGGGGGGGCAGCAGCAGCCAGGCGCGCAGGGCCAGAGCGCGGTGGGCGGCCGTGGCGAAACGAGGCCTCTGAGCACGGATCTCTGGGATTGCACCGTGGCGTCCGTTCGACGCCGAGCCGCCCGAGTCGTGCTGGGCTTCATGAGCGTCGCTCCTCGGGCCGCGGAAGGGCCTCGTGAGGCCCGCGTGGGGGCCGTGGGGCCCTCGGCGACCCATGCCCAGAGCGTGGGTCCTCCTCCTCCTCCTCCTCCTCCTCCTCCTCCTCCTCCTCCTCGAGGAGCGGCAGGCCTCTCAGCACGTGGGCCCGGATCCCGCGGCGCTGGCCGCCGAAGCCGCCGCCGCACCTCGACGAGCCGCCCCCCCCCCCTCAAACGTCGGCCCGCTGGCCCGCGCGAGCGGGAGCTCGCGCCGCCCGCCTGCCTCCACCTCGGCCCCGACCCCACCGGTGCCGGCCCTGGGCGGCGGCAGTCGCAGGCGGCGGCGCGCGCTGCAGCGGCCCACGGCGGCGAGCGCCGCGGCCCCCCTCGCTCTCTCGGCGGGCCCGCGGCGCGCGCTCGGCGGCCCTCGGCCGCCTCTCTCGCACGCCCGGCTGCGCCGCGAGCAGGCGCGGCAGCTCCGCGCGGTCGCCCCGAGGGCTCGGCACGCCGGCGCCGCTGGACGGCTCGGCAAGGCTCGGCGGAAGCGGGCGAGCCTCAGAGGCTCGCCCTGCGGCGTCCCTGAGCTGTCGTTGGCGTGCCTCGAGGGTCTTGCCAGCGCCTTCGGCCGACCGCTCGCGGTGAGCGCATGAGGGTTGCCGCCTTCTCCTGCGTGGCATCGTTGGCTGCAGTTCCTGTTCCGCGTGCTGTGCAATCTGCTCTTATCGCACCAGCCTGGCCTTTGAGCATCCCGGGTCTCGCTTGACTGCAGCAGGTCCTCGGAGCCACGCCGTGGCTGACGACGACGGCGACGCCTTCGGCAGCGTCTTCCCCGTCCTGGCAGGCGGGCTTCCTTCGAGGGAGTGGCTTCGGTGGTCCTCCCGCTCTTGCGGGAGGCACGGCCTGTCTGGGCTGACAGCGAATGCTGTGCTGCCTCAGGTGACGCCGCACACCGCCTCCCCCAAGGAGTGGCTTCGGTGGTGCTCGGTCCTTTCGCCTCCCCCGTCCACTGCGGAGGCGTGAGAACCCGACCAGCCAGCACGAGGGGCTCCGGCTGGCGCTGGGAGCAGGGCCGTGCGCGGCGCTCAGGGCGAGGTGAAGGGTTCTGCTCGTGTGGTGGCGTGTTGTTCGCTCGGAGCCCCGCTGGTTAGGCGTTCGCCTGCCGCCTGCGCCCTCGGCGACCGCCACTGTGCGGTTGCTTGAACCTGAGCTCGTGCCGCGCGAGCCTGGCCCATAGCTAAAACGAGTGCTCCAGTGGCAGCGTTCGCATGGCAGCATCGTGCCCATGTTGGCACACCCCTCACATGTTTCGTGGCTCCATAGGGAGCTCCACTGAAGGCCCCAGTGGCAGCGTTCGCATGGCGTCCCCGCGCCCATTTTGACACACCCCTCACACGTTTCGTGGCCCCATAGGGAGCTCCACCGAAGGCCCCAATGGCAGCGTTCGCATGCGTCTCCCCCCGACCATTTCGGCGTACCGCTCACGCGCTCCGTGACCCCATAGGGAGCTCCACCGAAGGCCCCAGTGGCGACTTTCCCATGGCGGCTCCGCTCCTATGTTGGTACACCCCTCCCACGTTTCGCGGCCCCATATGGAGCGCCACCGAAAGCCCCAATGGCTGCGACCGCATGCGTCCCCGCCCCAATTCGGCACACCCTTTACACGCTTCGTGGCACATAAGAGGATCCACCGAAGGCGATACCCACAACGGCGATACTCATAACTGCATGTGGTTGGGCCCTTCGCCCGGATCATTATAATCGCTTGCTGCCATTCTGTCCTCCTCCTCCTCCTCCTCCTTCTCCTCCTTCTCCTCCTCCTCCCTCCCATCCCCTTCCCTCCCCGCCCCGCCCCGCCCCTCCCCTCCCCTCCCCTCCCCTCCCCTCTCCTCCTTGGCCGCCCTTGCCACCGCACTCGTCCTCGAAGTCGGGGCAGCAGCTGTTGTGCGCCTCCCGAGGCGGTCGCGGGGCGCGCGCGCCGCGCGGCGGGCGGCGGGCGCTGAGGGGGCCTCCCTCCGATGGCGGCCGGGGCGGGGCGACCGGAGGGCAGCGAACCACTCGCGGATCTTCTGACCCGGGTCAATCCAGACCCCAGTCAGCAAGAAACCAAAAACTGCAATGCAGGAAAAAACTGCAGCGCAAGTCTTCGCAGACCCGGGTCAGCCAATAGGCGCGGCCGCCTCGCGGCCACGAGCGGCTCGCTAACCCGGGTCAGCCAGAGGGGGTCTTCGCAGGACCCTGCAGGATCCGGTGCCCCGGCTGACCCCCGTTTGCATTGACCCCCGTCTCGAGGCTCCCGAACCACCCTCGTGGTGAGCACCCCGGCAAGCGAACCCCTCTAGTAAACGCACCTCCGGGAGGGACCGCGAAGGGCAGGGCTGCGCAATAACAGGGAGGGGATGGAGCAGGGCGGGGCTGATCGGCAAAGGCCCTGGGCGGTGCAGTGTGCCCCCAGTCATGGGGGGGGCGGGGTGGAGATCTCCCCCTGGAAGGGGGGGAGGGCCTGTCACATGGTGATTGCTGCGCCCCCCGCTGAGCAGGAGGAGGGGGAGGGGGCGGAGGAGGAAAAGGGGGGAGGAGCAGGGGGGAGGGAGGAGGAGGAGGAGGAGGAGGAGGAGGAGGAGGAGGAGGAGGAGGAGGAGGAGGAGGAGGAGGAGGAGGAGGAGGAGGAGGGGTGGAATGACGGGTTGGACGATGAGGTGGAAGAGGGGGTAGGGGAGGGGGAGTAGGAGGAGGAGAGGGAGGAGGAGGAGGGGGGGGAGGAGGAGGAGGAGGAGGAGGAGGAGGAGGAGGAGGAGGAGGAGAACGACAAGTGTAAACCAAAGACCCATGAGCGATGCTGCAGAAAACCCTCCCTACACGCTGCCTCCTCACAAGTACCTACAAGAATGTGTTGTCACTGCGGGAAAGGCCCCGTTGGAAGACAACCCGTCTAAGAATCCCCAATCGCTCCAAAACTGAATTCCTGGGACTTCCTCGCCGCGAATCAACTTTACTGTTGAGTTACGGCAATCCTGAGTCGCGCCAGAACACCATGCACGGGACCTGAACACCGCGAATCAGAATGACTGATGCGCCCTGACAATCCAAAATCGTGCTGGAGCATTCCTGGGATGTCAACCATTAGAACCGGTGAAGCTGCTGCAAGCCTTTCAAACGAATGTGCGCGGCGAAAAGTGAGAGAACCACATTCCGAAAGCGAGCCGCCCTCCACTCGTGAAGCTCTTCTGAACGATTGCAACAAATGCGCGTGGTGTTAAGTCGGGGAGACGTAAAACTCAGGTACGGGAAACTCGGGTTGGCCTGACGGGGGCCATCATGAAAATGTGGCTCTGCTCATTTTTCGCCGCCAGAGATGAAACACATATCCGATAGCACTGAAGGGCCTGCGAGCTGACCAGAGGCATCACACATATCGGAGGCACCCGAAGACATTTATCAGGATCCCCCCAGCTTTGCTGAGCAGGAGGGTGAAAGGGGTAGGCTTGGGGATAGCCGGAAAAAACTTGAGCCATCGTGTCAATGGACCGATGCTGCAAGGACGGCGGTGCTCCAACACCGCAGACAACATTCCCGAGCAAGCACATACATGTGGCTCTGCTCATTTTTCGCCGCCAGAGATGAAACACATATCCGATAGCACTGAAGGGCCTGCGAGCTGACCAGAGGCATCACACAGATGGGAGGCACCCGAAGACATTTATCAGGATCCCCAATCCCCAATTCTTGGAACTGGCCAACGGCCTACGCGAAGCGTTTAAATAACAGCTCACAGATATGTTCTACAAATGATTGCGGATATGGCTGGGCAACTAAAGTCTTGAATTCCCCCATAGCATTCTTACCTACAAGTTGCTCGTTTTTCTTATTAGTGGCCGAGCACCTGCCCCTACTCATGACACATCTTTTGATAGCCGAGAGCTCTGGACATCCAAAAGCCAGCAGGGCCGTGCTGTTCTGCCACGGCGTCCCATGCTGGCAAAAGCTCGAGGTATACATTTCGGCCCCGAGACGCTTGAGCGAGTTGAAAGGACGGGTCAGCCAAATTCTAGAGGTGAAGGGATTTTCAATGACGACACGCACATTCGCCAGGATGCAAGCACGAGCCAGCGAGGCCGAGGCACGCATCAACGCGTTGCCTAGGCGGACCTTCGCAGAATCCTTGTCACTGAGGCCGGGGACGCCGAGCAGCCCTGGCCCCGAATCTCGGAGGGGGGCGGGACCAGCCCCCCCTCTCCGAGCTCTGGACCAGGAGGCGCAAGGGCCCCCCAGCCAGACGAGACGGCAGGCAGGCGAGACAGCGAGCTCAAGGAGGGCCGCCCATGCCTCGGGTCTGAGGATGTCTTGGCTGGCCGAGTGCGCAATGTCGAAGGTGTAGACGCGGTAGCCTTTGCTGGCCAGCTCGAGCGAGAGGCGACGGCAGCCGGCGAAGACCTCGATGCAGTAGCCGCGCCTCCTGCGGACACCAGGCGGCGGCTCAACGATGCCGTAAGGGCGCCCGGCAGCGATTGCAGGGCAGCCAGAGCCGCCGTCATCGCGGCCCGCGGCAGCTGGGCCTCGTCTCGCTGCAGCCGGGCCGCCGCCTCGTAACGTCTCATCGAGGCGTCGGCACTCCAGCGGCCGCGCTGCTTCACCTCCAGCGGCGCCCACATTCTCCCTCCTGTCCTCCGACGGCCCGCCGTGCCTCATCTGGTACAAGACATACAGCTTCGTCATCCCGAGGTGCAGCTGGGCGGCCCTGAACAGCGCGGCGAAAGAGACCATCGAGAACGGGAAGATCCTCTGGCTGGTCGCCAGCTTCACTGCGATCAGCAGCGCCTCGCCGACGAAGAGCCTCCTCGGATGGTCGATCATCAGGCTCTCGTTCGTCGCCATGGTCTTCGACGTCTGGCCTCTCTCCTCGGGATGAAGGTTCAGAGCGACAAAGGACGAGGTCGGGAACAGCGGCGCCACCACGTCCGCCACCTGAAGGTAGAGCCCCTCCGAGGGCCTCAGGTAGCACGTGAAGCACAGCACCACCAGCAGCGCTGCCAGCGGCTCGCCCCAGTCCAGCATCACCTGCGCCACCGCGACCGCGACCAGCCAGGGCATCGGCGGCCGCGTGACCGCCGGCTCCAGGCGCGACCAGGCCAGGAGGGCCCGCGACGCGCGGGGCAGCGAGGCCCCCCCTCTGCCCGCCGACGGGATAGTCGCCTGCCAGGCCGCGTAGAGCACCTGCCCCGCGGAACGGTCGTCGCCCTCGGTGTACATCGCCTGCGCCAGCTCGGCCATCGCGAAATCGGCGGACTCCAGCGAGATCACCAGCAAGCCCCGGAGGAGGCAGAAGGCGGCCAGCCTGCGCAGGGCGCCGAAATACCTCGGCCACGACTGCGCCTTGACGGCAGCGAGCGCCATCGCGCTGGCCACCCCCAAGCCAAATGGGCGCGCGACCTCGACGATGTCCGTCACGAGCTCCGGCGACAAGGGCAGCGACCTGGTCTGCTTGGCAAGGCCCCTGGACGAAGCAGGGCGCCTCAGGACCGCAGAGGAGCACGTCCGAGCCCTCCCAGAGCCGCGAGCCACCATCCGCCGCGTTCAGCTCAGACGGGTGCCACCGATGGCGCACCCGCACGTCGCCTGCGAGTGTAAGTGCGAGAAGACGCCTGCAGATCCTCAACAATCCTGGGGCGGAAGACCTGCCTTTCTCTGAAACCAAAATGAGTGATAGATTATCCCGAAGATGAAGAAGTGAGCAGCCGAAAGACGCCAGGGAACGGAGTTGGTGCCTGAGGGCTGCCACGGAGCCCCTATTTCGAGTACAATGATGTTTTCGACCTCCAGGAAACGAGCTGCGAAGTCGAGCTGCCAATCCTTGGTATGCAAGAGCTCCTGAGGCATCTCGACGAAGATGGGGCTCCCGTCCCAGACCTCTGGAGTCTCGACGGGGTCCACCGGCTTGACAGTGTTGATGCTGCTGAAAACGTCCGAGCCCAAGAGCGCATGATCGCGAGCCCTGATAGCGGGGGTCCCAGCCTTGTACCTAGACTTCGCCTTGAAGGATCCAAGCGACCTGACGACCTCGGAGCCCAGCGTCCGCGAGCACACGGCATACCCAGACAGACACGCGTCCGACGAGGTGACCCTGGGGCTCCACGGTCTATCGAGCCGCGCCCGACAGAACGGCAGCAGCGCGAGGAACCACCTGATCTCCCTGCACACCGACCCCCAGACACGGCAGCGGCTGACGGAGTGAGCCGAGATGAAGGAGTAGACGTGATGGAAGATAGCGAACATTTCACGACGCAAGTGGCAAAGGTGGGTGCAGTGGCCCACGAACCGCTCCAAAGCTTTGCCGCTGACGCGGGGGCGCCGAAGAAGCCAGAGCCCTGCGGCCCTCAGCAATTCCAGCTTGCGATCCGTGGGCACGACGAGCTTCTCACGCCCCATGGCCTTGTAGCCCAGAGTGACGGCGTCAACCGAGGGCCCCGAGATCTCGTGGACAACGAACCCGATGCTCCTGAAGTGATTGACCAAGTCATCCCGCATCTTCCCTGTGCGCTGCGCGTCAGAGCCCACGACGTTGATGTTGTCGGCGTAGGCAAGCAGCGCAGGCCGGCCGTCCGACATGTCGGGCGCAGGGCGTTCGTCACTCAAGATGCGGTCCACGGGCACCGCCTGGCTGCAAACGGACTGGGGATAGACCACGCGCTGAGCAACCCACATCGCCCAGCTCCAGCCCATCGGTAGCACAGCCAAGCAGGGCGACACAATGCTGCCGTCTGCGAGCGCTGATGCGTCCGACGGCAGCCTGCACTTGGTCCTAAGCAGGCTGACATCGAGCGCTGACAGGGCGAAGAACTCTGACAGCTCCTCAGAGATGCCCAAGTGATAGAAGTAGTTCTTCAAGTCCGCCTGGGCGGTGAACATCTCCTCCTCTGGGCCAAACTCGAGATCCGCCAACTTGCTCCCAGACGACATGTTCATCTTTGGGCATCTGGCGAAACGAGTGTTGACCGCTCTGCAGTCCCATACTATCCGCAGCTGCCCTGACTTCTTACGAACAAAGAACGGCGTGATGAGGTCCTGAGCGTTCGTCGAATACCTCAGCATGTTCGCGCGGTCCAGCCGCGCCACGAAGTCAGCGTACTTGTGCACATCTGTGGCCAGCGTCGGGTCCATGTAGGGAATCACAGGGGCCCCACTCTCACAACGCTGGCCGAACTCATCGTCAGATAGCATCATACGCGCTCGGAACTCCCTCAGGCAACGCGCCCCCTCGGGATCGAGAACATCAAGTGCGGCTGGAGGCTGCTCCAACTCCTCCGGAACCGCGATCCGCGTGGCGTCATATCTGGCCACAGCACTTGGAACCTCCCCACTGTCGTAGACGAGGTCGGAGCCGAGAAGCTCGCGGACGGCTTCTCGTTGCTGCGAAAAAGAAGGCACTCGAGCGGGATCAACGTGCCTCAAAACTGTGCGCTGCGCCGCTGCTTGGGCCGCGCTCCTGTCCGCCGTGAGCGGTGCCTGCACCGAGGAAGATGGCATGCCGTAGAGCTCTTTCAAGGCCTCGATGCACTCATTGGCCCTGACTCCCTTGGCGCGCCGATGCCGTAGGCGCTGGCGAACGGAGTGAGAGAGATGCGGGGCGCCCGGCGTCGCCTCCTCAAAAATCGGGAGCGGGAAGAGCTCCCTGGGACGCGCCTCCCCGCGCTACCCTGAGTCGGCAGGGGATAGCTGGGATGGCGAGCAAGGGGGGCCGGCGGGCCCAATCGCCGCCCCCTCGGCCCGCGGCGCGTCATTGGCCCCCGCCGCCTCCCGCAGGCGGCTGGCCACTTCCTCTGCCACAACCCTTGCTGCGTGCGACGGCCTCCTCCCTCGCCTTGCGAGCCTCCTTCATGATCGCTGCCTCTTGCTTAAGCTAATCCGCGACGTGGGCCGACAGGCCCGGCGAAATCGCCGCGCCTCCTGCGCGACGGCTCCAACCCATGAACTGATCGGCGGCCGTGTAGTCGGGCTGGCTCGGCGAGACTCTGTGGGCCTCCTTTATCAGGGCGAGCCTCCTCGACATGAGTTCGAACGCGAGCAACGACGGGCAGTTCAGCTGGTCATGCATCACCGCCGCGTCGAACATCCTGCTGAGCACCTCATGCTCGTAGACGCTCCTGTCCCCCGACGGTGCCTTCGAGAGGCGGACCCAGTTCTCGCGGGCGTGGAAGGCACTGTTGCCGTTGTCCCTCACATGCTTCATGAACCAGAGGACCGTCCTTGGACCCTGCAAGTCCCAGCCGCCAGGGATCGGCTCCTCAGACGAGCTGGCAACCGCATCGTCCCACGTGCGACGGCGCTCGCCTTGCACATCACGCTTCACTGCCATCGCGCGTGCATCGCCCTTCGCCAACATCAGCGCGTCGGCGACCGAGAGCAGCGCCACCGGGATGGATACCCCAGCCCCGTGGACGATGGCACGATCTCCAAGGCTGAGGGCGCCAACTGGGAGCTGGTGGCAGACGAGGTCCCCGATCGAGTAGCCTGCGCGATCCTCCACCGCGTACCAGCAGTTGCCCGGCGGCGGCACCAGCGCCCCGGCAGGCGCGGCGGCGGCTGCGGCGGCACCGCCGCCCAGCCAGCCCGGGCGGGATGCCGAGCGCGGCGCCCGCGGCGGCGCTGTCGGCGCCGGCGGCGGCCACGCGGCCAGGGGGCACGAGCGCTCCTGCCCCAGGGGCCGGCGCTGCCCCCCCGGCGGGCACCACCGCTCCCGCCGCCACGGCCGCGGGCGCGGCGGGCGGGTTGTAGTGCGCGACGAGCGGGAGCGGCGCGCACGGCACGCCTAGCGTGTGGGCCCCCAGCATCGCGTAGGCGTCGACGGCGGCCTGAGCTGGCGCGGCCCTGAAGCCATAGATCTGCGCCGCCACCACACCTGCAGGAACCTCCAGCGCGTGCGACAGAACGTGCACACTCTCGAAGTCCACGCCCACGGCGTAGGTCTCCTCGTAGTGATTCTGGTCGGGCGTCGCCCCGTAGCAGTCGGCGGTCCCCGGACGGACAGCGACCACCAACCGCGCATGATGTACGACAGGGCCTGGCACGCGCCGATACCTCACAAGCACATAGTCTCCAGGGTTAAGCGCCATCGTGACGCACGGCGGAGCTTCAGCTGCGGACGAAGGTGAGCTGCGCCTGCGCCTGCTGTCTCAGCGACGTCGAGTCGTCCGCCACCGCCACCTGCGGCCCGGGCGAGTGCCCTACCCGCACCTCGCGGGTCGGCAGCCCCCACAGCGCGCCCAGCAGGTAGGCGCCGACGATGAGCAGCGCCACCAACAATGCGCCGCCAGCCACCGCCAGCGGAGAGGGCGTCGGGCAGACGCACGTCGAGGCGGGCACCGCTGGGCAGTACACGACAGGGGCGCAAATCGGGCACGGATGGGTCGCGCCCCACAGGGCCGCCCCGGTACTGATCCCGCGCGCGAGCTCCAGGATCGTGGCGCGGGCTACTTGCTTAGCCGGAAAAAACTTGAGCCATCGTGTCAATGGACCGATGCTGCAAGGACGGCGGTACTCCAGCACCGCAGACAACATTCCCGAGCAAGCACATACATGACGAGATCCAATCTGAAATTCGACGCGGGCTCCCGCTGCAAACATCCCACGGAAACCGGACCGTCAAAATCCAGGACGCGTTCGTCAAAAAACTGCGGCATGCCCGAGTCCCGGCGTACTCGGCGGTGGACAAACCTCCCTTTAATAAACCTCGCTTCAGTGAAAACGGCCTGGACCGAAAACAACGGACCTGGACCCGCAAAAATGACGGCCGCGATGCCCTCTCGCGAACCGAAGACGGCCAATTCGCTTATCGACGTGTCAGGGTAGGAGGTCTGTCCACCCCCGACTTACTCGAGTCTCACGTTTCCCCGACCAAGGCGTGAACCACGTTCTGAAAACGGTCCTCCCCCAAGCCGTGAAACTCTTGCACCATTTTGCGACGAAGGCACCTCTTTGAGAACGGCCCGCCCCCGTCGCTCGTGGAACTCTCTTGAAGAAGATTATCAGACGAGTCTGCGCGGCGTTTGAAAGCGAACGCGGCATGTTGGAAACGTCCCGTCCTCCACCCGAGAAGCTGCTGCGGATGTCACGCTTCAGGAGCAGAAGCGGCTGGGGAGTCTCAGGCAAGGCGCCCCGCCCCCCCCTGCAGACACGTCTGCGGGTGCGATGTGGCGGAGTTATGTACACTGAAAAAAATTGAGGAGGGGCGGAGGAGAGGAGGCGGGAGAGTTGGAGGGATGAGGGGGCGGGGGGGGGGAGAGTGGAGGGATCAGGGGGAAGAGGGCAACGCAAAACACCGAAGTGTCTGACCCAATGTGCTCTGAGCTGCGAGACTGAACCAATTTCGATCGAAGAGGCCGCGTAAGGAATGGGGCATGTCCGTTTGAATGCTGGCAGGCTGACTATTCGATGTGCGCGCAGTGCTCGATACCGGCAGCGTCTGCAGCGGCGGAAGCGACGAAGGTACCCCGCCCATCTGGGACCTCAATGCTTGCCGGAATCAACGCTCCCCCAAAACGCGTAGATTTCTCGCCGGCTCTCATGTGCCAGATGCAGAAGGTCGAATGGACAAGGGAGAGGGATACAAGCTTGAGCCTCGTAACTCAAACACAGCCTGGTCGGTCCAACTTGAGCCGAAGGTGGTCACAGATGATTGAGAGGGAGGGGGATGGGGGAGGGGGGGGATAAGGGAGGAGGAGAAGGGAGGAGGAAGGAGGAGGAGGAGAAGGAGGAGGAGGCGGAGAAGGAGGAGGAGGAGGAGAAAGGGAAAGAGAAACAGAAGGAGGAGGCAGGAAGTACGATGAAGGATGGGAGGGGCTCGGAAACAATCCTCTGAGACCTTCCTAACAACATCCTGTACAATTTCTCGAGATGCGTTCAGCCGTGACCGCGAATGCCCCCCTCAGGTGACTGGGCCGAACAAGTACCAAACCACCATCCTCGTCCTCCTCCTTCTCCTCCTCCTCCCAGGGAGGGAGAACCTTGCAACCTTTGTTGCACTGGCAGTTGAAGTCGCTGTTGAACGCCTCGGTGCAGCCGTAGTCGGCGCAGCTCCCCGCTCCGCCTCCGCGGCGCCAGGGAAAGCTTATGGAACACCTCTTCTACGGTACGGAGCTTTACTTCCCACCGAAGGCGCACACACCTCTTTGTGCTTTGTCCGTGGGCCAGGAGCGCGAGGCTCTGCGCAGCGGGCATAGCAGGCCACCGCGCCGCGGTGGAGGAGCACCTCCTCTACGCAGGAGGAGGAGGGGGGACAGCCCCCTACAATGGGCACACATGAGAAGGAGCCCAGCTACCAGAACTGTCACCTCCCGGAGGTGTGCCCCAGGGCTTCGGGGGCCCCACTGAGGCCCCTGGTGAAAAAGAGACCTCCGTGAGGGCACCTGCTGACAGGTCGGTCACTTATTTGAGGCACCTGCTATAGCTTCTGATGTTTCCAGAAGTGCTCCGAAGCTAACGACACACATCCACAACCTTCTCCACCTCCAGGGGGCCCGAGAAACCCGGGATACTACTGGGGAGACGGAAGGAGATACTGCCAGTCCGCTGCCGCTGCTATCTTTGCCTATCCATCTCTTGCTTTCTCTTTCTCCAAACCTCCCTCCTCCTCCTCCTCCTTCTCCTCCTTCCTGCGTTGTCCGCGCAGTTTTCTCTTTGCCAAGTCGACGGAAGCGGGACCCCGCGCGAGCGCCTTCCGTTCTTCAGGTGGGAACGCATGCCAATCCCAATATCAGGTTGTGACACACTTGTTTTTTGTGTTGTGGAGGGAGGGTGGGAGTGGGTGGGGCTCTCTGACTCACTCGACCTGGCTAACCTGACTTGACTCCTCCTCCTCCTCCTCCTCCTCCTTCTCTTCCTCCTCCGCGTCATCGTACTCAAAGAATTGGACGGAGAAGGGGGGGGGAAGGGAGGATGACATCCTCAGATGAGTTGCACTTCGACCACAGTCTCCTCCGCGCGTGCCAAATTTGGATCTGGGGGAGAAGGAGGGTGTCCATGAATTGCTTCCCTCTACCTGATTTGGGGTCGATGCCTCCCCCCCCGCTCCGCCTGGGCCCCACCGAGATCCCCCTTCCTCTGAGATCCCACGTTGCGAAAGAAGTGCAACATCGTGAGAAATCACGACTGGAGCTCTCTAGACTGCAGATTTCTGCTGCCTGTTCCAGGCCACAGCGATCCGCCAGGGCCCCTGGGCCCGAAGCGGTTCCCTCGCGCTCGCGCAGCCCGTGGCCGCGCAAGCAGCAGTGCGGCTGACAGCAGGCAGGCCGGCAGCAGGGCAAGGACGCCAGGCGGAGGAAGCGAGAGGCTTCGGAAAGCGGAGACCAGAGTGGCTCCAGGGACGAGCTAACCCACTTTGAGGGCGACGCCGAGGCAGCTGGCAACCAGCACGGCATGGGCCAGTCCGGCTCGTGCGGGTCCTTCGGAACCCGAGTTTCACTTTGCTGAGAAAGACAATCATCGTGTTGGGAGGACATGGCTGGGAAGAGACAGGGCACGACTGCGTGATAAGCCCATTCAACATACGAGATCACACGGATGATCTGATCATGCCTGCCAGCCCCATCCTCCTAACCCGAGAACTGTTCCCAAATCAGTGCTTGCACTGAAGGGGTCCTAGCGGAAATTGAAAGATTTGGCGAACATGTCCCGCCGATTTTGTTAGCCGGCTGAAATCCCAAGTTCCCTGTTCCAGGTTCCCGCGTTCCTGGTCAATTGGTTCCGGGCCGATTCTGGCGGGTTCCGGGTTCCAGGGTTCCGGGTCGAACTCCTTATCGATCAAACCATCCACTGACTGGGGGTTTTCCCTGGTGTAATGTCTCTCTGCTCTGCATGTCTCGATTCTAGTGAAGGGGCCCTGGGGCACACAAACGAATACACACAAATGAAAGGCTGCCCCATATTTTCCGATATGTTCTTCTGTCTCCCCCCCCACTGCCCATACTTTCCCATATTCTCTGGGAAATCAACGATTCATGGCGTCTGTGGGTTTTTCCTCCTCCTGATATAGATCGCCCGGTGTGGCGCCCCGGCCGGCCAGAGAGGCGGCGCCTCCCGCGCGGCCTCCGCCCCCGGCGCCGCCGCCGTCCTCGTCGGCGTAGAAGTCCGCCTGCGACTCCGTCGGGTGCGGCGCGGTGTGGGCCGTGCTCTCCTGAGGGCTCCCGCCGTCGCCGTCGTCGTCGTCGCCGACGCCGCCGCCGCGGTCGCCGTCGTCGCGGTCGCCGCCGTAGTTGTCCCAGCGAGCTTGTCCGGCGCGGCGCCGCGTGCGGCTCTGTCGCGGTGGTCGCCGTCGTCGTCGACGCCGCCGTCGCTGCCGCGGTCGTCGTCGAGCATTCCCTCCCTCAATCTCTCCCTCTTCTCCCCCTCCTCCCTCCCCCTCATTCCCTTTCCCTCTCCGCCGCTCCTTCTCTCCTGCTCTCCTCCTCCTCCTCCTCCTCCTCCCCCCTCCTTCGGTCCCTGAACCCCTACCAAAGTTTGTCTGGTGCAATGTGTCATCCCGTGTTTGACATTGTGGCCCGAAAACGGCACCCGGACACCGAAAGAGGCAAGACACTGTCCCGAACCCAGCGTCTCGGAACTGCCCCCCTTTCCTGTTCGCTGGAACCAGGGCTGGACCACCTCAGACCCCCATCCGACTACAACTTTTCCTCCTACAAGCCCCGATCCAGCAGAGCCTGGAATCGATTCGAGAAGTCGAATCGGCGATCGAAATGAATCGGATCGGCGGAAATCGGGATCCGAGACGGCAGAAGTCCAATCGGCAGAAATCGGCAGGCTAACTCGTGGACCTCCATGGAAAAATCGGAACCCGCATCGGCATCGAGGCCGAATCGCATCGGACTGGGAAGCCATCGACATCGGATTGAATCGAATCGAATCGAATCGGAGGAGTCGACATGAGCCCTGCCCGATCCCGCACTTCTCCCGTGTCGTTGGAGCGCGTTTCTTTATTTTCGGCCATAATGGGCATTATAGGGGGGTGGGTGGGGGGGCAAGGCCGGGGGGGTATAATGCAACGCCTCCCCCCCGCCGTGCGCACGGCGGCAGTGCCTGGAGCGGACTGGGGAGGGGGGGGGGGCGTTACGGTTACGTTATAGGGGGGGAGGTGGGGCCAGTGACTATTGCCCATTACTAATTACCCAGACCCGGGACGTAATGATTTTTTCATTACGTCGACCCCCAGAGATCCCGACCCTTTCCCCCCGACCGGCTTGGCATCCCGAGTCGTTTTTCGACGCTCCCGAGGCCCCGGTGAGGGCCCCCGGAGGCCGAAAATTCAGAAAAACCTCCCGTCATGATTTTTGTCATTGCTCGAGGGGAGCGGGGAACGGGGAACGGGGAGCGGGGAGGGGGAGGAGGACCAGGAAGAGGAGTTGAGGTGGGAAAGAAAAGGAGGAAGGGCGCGAGGAGAGGAGGCGCCAGGCTGCGCACAGCCTTCCTGCGCACCTCGAACATGGCAATGGGAACGTCATGGATCAGGAAGGGAAAAACATACACAAACACACCACTCGAGGGGGTCTGGGATTACGCCCCACGCAAAACCGAGAAAAACGCTCTCTTGCTGCTGGCCGCTGGGCCCCGCGCGCCCCGCTCGGCCCCGGCGGCCCGGCGGCCGATCGGGGGCGCACCGCCGGCCACGTGGGGCCGTGCGCCGGGCACCGCCGCCGAGGTGGGGCCGGCCGCCGGTGCCCGCGCGGCCGCCGCGAGGTGCCCGGAGGCCTGGGCCCATTCCTGGAGACGCCCACAGTGTGAGCGTTTGCTCACTCGGCGTCTTGGCACTGGGCGGAAGACCCAGACCCCCTCGGGTAATGAAAAAATCATGACGGGAGGTTTTTCCTAACTTTTTGGCCTTTCGAGGCCCTAACCGGCCCTCGGGACCGTCAAGAAACGATTCAGGATGAAAAACCGGTCCCGGGGAATGGGTCGAGATCTCTGGGGGTCGACGTCATGAAAAAATCATGACGTCGGGGATCTGGGGAGGGGAGGGGAGGGGAGGGGTCTGGCTCCAGGGAGGGCCCCGCGCGGCCGCCGGCCTGGGCCCTTCCTGGAGGCGCCCACAGTGGAGTCAACCCAGACCCCCTCGGGCGATGGAAAGATCACGACGGGAAGTTTTTCCTGGTTTTTTCGGCCTGCGGGGGCCCTCGCGGGGCCTCGGGACGGTCCACAGAAACGAATCAGGATGAGAGACCGGTCCCAGGGAATGGGCCGAGAACTCTGGGGGTCGACGTGATGAAAAAATAATGACGTCGGGGGTCTGGGAGTTCAATCAACCGGCACAGTCAACGCGTATCATCAGGATGCGCGGCAAGGATGCAAGGGCATTTGAGGCCAATGTTGGCGTTTTCCGAGCTTGGCCAGCGAAAGTCGTTCAGGATGGGCCGAAGGGGCTGTGCAATGTGCACTGGCCCGAGGGGGCCTGCTGCCAGTGCCCCGCGGCTGCCCCGAGGTGCCCGGAGGCCTGGGCCCATCCTGGTGGCGCCCACAATGTGAGCGTTTGCTTATTCGGCGTCTTGACAGTGGGTGGAAGAGGGGAGGGGAGGGAGGTGTCTGACTCCAGACCTCTGCGTAGCGCGGCTGTGTGCAACGGTGCGTCCTATGGGGGAGACTCCACCTGCTCGAAACGGGTGCCAGAATCAGCCAAGATCTACTCCAAGGGGGGGAGGGGGGGTGCAAGGGCCCGCGCCGGTCAGCAAACAAAATGATAAAAGAACGAACGCAATACAGTCAACCCGTATACACTGAGACCCTGGCGTCTCATTTTCCTCGAGCACGGTATTTTGTGCCCAAATCTGGGCCCTGAAGCCCTAACAGGTCGATCCGGCTCGAAGAATGGCGCAGAATGATGGGGAGTAGGGCTCCAGTCGTGATTTTCTGATATGTTTCAATTTCTCGACACGTTGGATCTAAAGATATTGAGGACGCACGATAAGGATGCAAGGGCCTTGGAAGGCCATGTCGACACCTTGCGAGCAGGGCGCGGCCAGCGAAAGTGACCGAAGGAATAAGCCGAAAGGGAGAGATGCAAGTGTAACCGTGGAAAGTTGCTCATCATTGCTCTGCGGGTTGACTGTAGAGGCCTCTCAAACGGGGACGAAGGATCGCGCCGCATCGCCGATACACCGACGATGCATCGGCGACGACAGCGGTGCATCGGCGACGCCGGCGTGGAGAACATCGGGCTCCACGTCGAGCCGCATCGCCGATGCATCGGCCCAGAGTTCTGGACCCTTCCCGCTTTCCATGGACCAGATGCAGTGATGACGAACATTGCCAGCTTCCCCACTGAGGGAAATCGAGCTCCACCATGGGAAGCACCAGCCAAGGAAAAGGAAGAGGAGAAGGAAGAGGTTGAGGTGGAGGAGGAGGAGGAGGAGAGGGACAGACGCGCTGTGTGGGCATCCCCAATGGGCACTGCCAGCCACTGGTGTAAACACACAACGGACGCCACGGAGAAGGAGGAGGACGGGAGGCGAGGTGGAACGAACGAGGAGGATGGAAGAGGAGGATGATTAAGAGGAGGAGGAGGAAGAGGAGGACGAGGAGGAGGAGGAGGAGGAGGAGGGAGGAGGAGGAGGAGGGGAGGAGGAGAGGAGGAGGAGAAGGAGGGGGAGGGGTAGGGACAGGGAGGAAGAGGAGGAGGAGGAGGAGGAGGGGAAGGAGGAGGAGGAGGAGGAGGAGGGAGGAGGAGGAGGAGGAGGAGGAAGATGATGATGATGAGGAGGAGGAGGAGGAGGAGGGGGACCGACACGTTGTGTGGGCATCCCCGATGGCTCTGCCAAACACTGATGTAACACACACACACACAACGGACGCCACGGAAAATGAGGACGGGAGGCGAGGGGGACCGAACGAGGAGGAGGGAGGAGGAGGAGGAGGAGGAGGAGGAGGAGGAGGAGGAGGAGGAGGAGGAGGAGGAGGAGGAGAGGGGAATGGGAGGAGGAGCGGGAGGAGGTGGAGGAGAAGGAGGAGGAGGAGGAGGAGGAGGAGGAGGATATAGGAAGAGGAGAGAGGAGAGGAGGAGGAGGAGGAGGAGGAGGAGGAGGAGGAGGGGAGGAGGAGGAGGAGGAGGAGGAGGAGGAGGAGGAGGAGGAGGAGAACGGGGAGAGGGAGGGGGAGGAGGAGGAGGAGGAGGACGACGAGAGGAGGAGGAGGAAGATGATGAGGATGATGATGAGGATGATGATGATGAGGAGGAGGAGGGGAAGGAGGATGAGCATGCGGATTGGTAGGAGGACGAGGAGGAGGGCGAGGAGGAGGAGGAGGAGAAGGATGAGGAGGTGAGGGACAGACGCTATGTGATTGCATCCCCGATGGCTCTGCCAGGCACTGATGTAAATACACAACGGACGCCAGAGAGAAGGAGGATGAGGAGGACCTGAGGCGAAGAGGAACAAACGAGGAGGAGGGAAGAGGAGGAGGGGTAGGAGGACCAGTGTACACCCAAGAGTCATCAACGATGTTGGGATATACCTCCCTCCAAGCTCCCTCTTCATCGGCCCCTTACAAAGGTTATTGTTACTGAAGGAACTGCCTCGTTGGAAGGCAACTGTCTGAAGACCCGAAGCATGCCAAAGCATCGGTCTCGGAATCCCAACGCCACGGATCAACCTGACTGTTGCGTCTTGACGACCCTGACTCGCGCCAGAACGCCATTCCTGCGACGTCGACACCGCGGGTAAACTAACTGCTGCAGCCTATTACATCTGATTCCTTCGATTCCTGGTACGCTGATCATGTGAATCCCTGTGAAAATCTCGCACATGTTAAACAACGAATGTGCGCGGCAATAAGGCTAGAGCCACTTTTCCAACACAAAGAACCACCCTCAATCCGTGCAGATCTTGCGCAATTTAACAATGGATGTGCGCGGCACTGAAGCGAGAACCATAATTTGAAAGGAACCGCCCTGAATCTATGAAGCCCTTGAAGCACTTAAATACATATGTGCGCGGCGCTGAAACGAGTGCCTCTTGTTGAAAACCAATCGCCCTCGATCCGTGAAGCTCTTGCATTTGTTGAAACGAATGTGCGCGGCGCTAAGGCGAGAACCACATTTTGAAACCTAATTGCCCTCAATCCGTGAAACTCTTGCACACGTAGAAGAATACCCTGGCGAAGGACCCGACCATATGCAGCTGTGAGTACCGCAGGTCAGCTGGGACGAAGAAAGGTGAACTTCTTACGGGGCCTTCGGTGGAACTCCCTGTGGAACCCACGAGCCGTGTGAAAGGTGTGCCAAAATGAGTGTAGGTCCACGCATGCGGCCTGTGCCATTGGGGCCTTCGGTAAAGCTCCCTGTGGGGCCACGAACCGTGTGAGGGGTGTGTCAAAATTAGTGGCGGTCCCCGCATGCGGCCTGAGCCACTGAGGCCTTCGGTGGAGCTCCCTGTGGGGCCACGAACCGTGTGATGGGTGTGCCAAAATAGGCGGTGGTCCCCGCATGCTGCCTGTACCACTGGGGCTCTCGGTAGAGCTCCCTGTGGGGCCACGAACCGTGTGAGGGGTGCAGCAAAATGGGTGGAGGTCTCCGCATGCAACCTGTGCCACCGGAGCATTCGGTAGAGCTCCCTGTGGTGCCACGAGCCGTGTGATGGGTGTGCCAAAAAAGGGCGGCGGCCACCGCATGCGGTCTGTGCCACTGGGGCCTTCGGTGGAGCTCCCTGTGGGGCCACGAACCGTGTGATGGGTGTGCCAAAATGGGTGGCGGTCCCCGCATGCGGCCTGTGCCATTGGGGCCTTCGGTAGAGCTCCCTGTGGGGCCACGAACCGTGTGAGGGGTGTGTCAAAATTAGTGGCGGTCCCCGCATGCGGCCTGTGCCACTGGGGCCTTCGGTGGAGCTCCCTGTGGGGCCACGAACCGTGTGAGGGGTGTGCCAAAATTAGTGGCGGTCCTTGCATGCGGCCTGTGCCATTGGGGCCTTCGGTGGAGCTCCCTGTGGGACCACGAACCGTGTGAGTGGTGTGCCAAAATGGGCGGCGGCCCCCGCATGCGGCCTGTACCACTGGGGCCTTCGGTGGAGCTCCCTGTGGGCCACGAACCGTGTGAGGGGTGTGCCAGAATGGGTGGCGGTCCCCGCATGCGGCCTGTGCCACTGGGGCCTTCGGTGGAGCTCCATGTGGGGCCACGAATCATGTGAGAGGTGTGCTAACATCGGTGTCGGTCCCCGCATGCGGCTGTGCCAAAACAACTCAGGTTCCCCCCGACACCATTCCTGGCATATCACCAGTGCCTCGCGGAGGAGGAGGAGGAGGAAAGGAAGGAGGAGTGAGAATGAGGTGACGCGGGGCGCTGTCTCTTCAAAGCGAGGACCCAGCACAGGATGGTTGGGAACGAATGCGGGCGGCGCTAAGGCGAGAGCCACATTTTGAAAACAACCCGCCCTCCATCTGTGAAGCTGTTGCCGATGCTCCAGCTACATAAAGGGTGAGGAAGTCTCAGGCGAAACGCCCGCCCTAAAAACTGGCCTCGGGGGGCGACAGGGATAAGTTATGTATAAGGAACAGGAATGGAGGAGGATGAGGAGGAGGATGAGAAGGAGGAGGAGGAAGATGATGAGGAGGAGGAGGAGGAGGGGAGGAGGAGGGGGAGGAGGGAGGGAGGGAGGGAGGAGGGGAGGGAGGGAGGGAGGGAGGGAGGGAGGGAGGGAGGAGGGAGGGAGGGAGGAGGAGGAGGGGGGAGAGGAGGAGAGGAACAGACGCGTTGTGTTGGCATCCCCGATGGCGCTCTGCCAGCCACTCATGTAACACACACACACACACACACAAGGGACGCCTCGGAGGAGGAGAAGGACGGTAGGAACGAGGAGGAGGGAAGAGGAGAAGGAGGAGGAGGAGGCTGAGGATGAGGAGACGGAAGAGGAGGAGGAAGAGGGGAAGGATGACGAGGAGGAGAGGAGGAGGAGGAGGAGGAGGAGGAGGAGGAGGAGGGGAAGGAGGAGGCGGAGGAGGAGGAGGAGGAGGAAGAGCAGCGGGAGGAGGAGGAGAGGGACTGACGCGTTGTGTGGGCATCCTCGGTGGTTCTGCCAGCCACTGGTCTAAACACACAGCGGATGCCACGGAGAAGGAGGAGGACGGGAGGCGAGGGGGAACGCACGAGGAGGAGGGAAGAGGAGGAGAAGATGAAGGAGGAGGAGGAGAAGATGAAGGAGGAGGGGGAGGAGGAATAGGAGATAGGAGGAGGAGAGTTTTTTTCCAGCAGTTTCATTTCTCACGTGGTGAGGTATATGAGGAGGAGAGGGAGGAGGAGAAGGAGGAGGAGGAAGAGGAAGAGGGGGGAGGAGGAGGAGGAGGAGAAGTAAGAAGAGGAGGAGGAGGGGGGGAGGACTAATGACGCCTCATCCTGCGCTCAAATAGCTACGGAAGGAGCCTGCGCCCCTCATGGTGGCGCCCACACCTCTTTGTGGCCTTCACGAAGGGGTGGCGCGATGGGATGAGATTTCAAGCACGCGGGATTTGGCTTCCCAGAAGGCAGGGGCTTCTCAGAAGGCGGGTGGGCTCCTGAGAGATGCAGCTGGTGCCCAAAAGGGGCCCTAAAGGGCGCCTTTGAGGCCTTTCTCCTCACCCCCAATTTGGGTCACCCCCTATTACCACCCGCCCGAGGCGACCGTAACCGGTTACACGCAGGAGTGACCCTGGGTAAGAGTGACCTCTGGTGCGCGGCTTTTCGGGGGCCGCGGGGGGACCAAACCTGGGCGCGCAAGCCGCTGCTCATGCTTCGCTTTCGGCCGTCGGGGGGCCCATCTGTGCCCGCACCAAAGGTCCCTCCGGCGAGAGGTCACTCTTACGTCTAGTCGACACAAGTCGCTGTCGGGGATCTTCTGACACGGGTCAATCCAGACCCGGGTCAGCAGGAAACCAAAAACTGCAATGCAGGAACAAAAAACTGCAACGCAGGTCTTCGCAAACCCGGGTCAGCCAATATGTGCGGCCGCCTCGCGGCCACGAGCGGCTCCCTAACCCGGGTCAGCCAGAGGGGGTCTTCGCAGGATCCTGCAGGATCCGGCGCCCTGGCTGACCCCCGTTTGCACTGACCCCCGTCTCGAGGCTCCCGATGCTGCCTCCCGGCCCGCGCCCCGGTCCTCGCCCGCGTCGGCGCCCAACGACTCGCCGCCGCCCCCGCTGGCGGGCGCCTCGGCCTCCTCGCCGCGCGGGCAGGGAGGGCGGGCGGCGGGGGACCAGCCGCGCTCCCCCGCGGGGGGGGCCCGAGATCCGGGCGTCGCATGTCTGTTCGCAACGGGCGCTTCGCCGCCCCGATGCGCATCCCGACTGCCGACGGGTCCCCCTAATTTTGGAGAGCTGCGCTGCGGCCACAGCCCCGAAAAAAGTCCATCATGAAACGCGTCATGGTCCAACACAGGGAATATTACCCTGTGACGTACCCAACCCATTTGTATCAATGGAAACGAGGAGTTGGCCGAAACTTGCATGGACAATCAACTTGATGTGTAAGCTACTTGGGACACGCGCCTATGGCATGATGCGCAGGAGAACCATACAAGAACGAGGGGCGACAGCTACAGGCTCAAAGAGGACATGGGGAGCCGGGAACGCAGAGCAGAGAAAAACGTGCGGGAAGCCGAAGCACGGGAGCAGGGGAAGGTGACTGCAGGAGGAGAACAAGGACGAAAGCGGCGTCTAATTTGAGTCTGCGGTGGGTACCCACTGTGCTGTGCCCCCCAGCAGGCCTCGAAAGTGGCGACAGTTTCACAGATCGCAGCCCCCCAGGAATGGCGAGGTCTAATTTGAATCTGCGGTGGGTACCCACTGTGCTGTGCCCCTCAGCAGCCCTCGAAAGTGTCGGGAGTTTCACAGATCGCAGCCCCCCAGGGATGTCGAGGTCTAATTTGAGCCTGCGGTGCGTACCCACTGTGCTGTGCCCCTCAGCAGCCCTCGCAAGTGGCGACAGTTTCACAGATCGCAGCCCCCCAGGGATGGCGAGGTCAAATTTGAGTCCGCGTTGGGTACCCACTGTGCTGGGCCCCCCAGCAGGCCTCGAAAGTGGCGACAGTTTCACAGATCGCAGCCCCCCAGGGATGGCGAGGTCTAATCTGAGTCCGCTGGCTGGGCCCCCCAGCAGGCCTCGAAAGTGGCGACAGTTTCACAGATCGCAGCCCCCCAGGGATGGCGAGGTCTAATTTGAGTCCGCGTGGGTACCCACTGTGCTGGGCCCCCCAGCAGGCCTCGAAAGTGGCGACAGTTTCACAGATCGCAGCCCCCCAGGGATGGCGAGGTCTAATTTGGGTCCGCGGTGGGTAACCCACTGTGCTGGGCCCCCCAGCAGGCCTCGAAAGTGGCGACAGTTTCACAGATCGCAGCCCCCCAGGGATGGCGAGGTCTAATTTGAGTCCGCGGTGGGTAACCCACTGTGCTGGGCCCCCCAGCAGGCCTCGAAAGTGGCGACAGTTTCACAGATCGCAGCCCCCCAGGGATGGCGAGGTCAAAGGCAGGGGGGAAGAGAGGGACGGGAAGGAAGGAAGGTTCGCGCGAGCAGTGCTCTATTCAAAACGAAAACCCAACGCAGGAGGGTTGGGAAAAAATCGGGGTTCCCATAACGAACAATCAAATTTCTCACAATCTCCAAAAAACCGACCCCAGTAGCGTGTCGACACTGAGCTCCACACGCAGGTCTGGCGCGATGCGGTCGCCACAACGTGGATCGACACGCGGCGAGCCAACGCGCAGCGTGCAGCACAGACGCTTTTCGAACACGGCACGCGCTGCGTTTCGGCACGATCGAGCGCATCAAGGCAGCTGAGAACGGGCGCTTCCGTGTGGTTTCGGGCCCCAGTAGGGAGGCACCAACTATACACCAACACCGATCCCGGCCAGGATCAACCTGGGCCCAGGATCGGTGTATACGCCCTCCTGCCATGGGCAGAATGCATATACACCGATCCTGGGCCTAGGATCGGCCTGGGCTGGATCGGTGTAGGTGTATAGTTGGTGCCCTCCAACCCAGGACCATCACAGGTCGATCCAGCTCGGGCAATGGCATAGAAAGACAGGGTCAAGGGCTCCCGTCGGCCGTGAGCCTTCGCGAGGCTGCAGCTGCTCGCGAGGTCGGATCTCGGGGGGGCCCGGTGTTCCCGGGAAGCACCCCACCAGTAGCCGAGATCCGTGCGAACGAGGCCTGCTTCTGAGGGTGGGGTTGGTGGTGATGGCGTTGGCGAGGGTGATGGTGTCGCTGATGCTGAAAGAAATGGCGCTAATGATGATGATGATGATGATGATGATGATGATGATGATGATGATGATGATGATGATGATGGTGATGATGGTGGTGATGATGATGATGCTGGTGATGGTGGTGCTGCTATGATGACGACCATGACGATGATGATGATGATGATGATGATGATGATGATGATGATGGTGATGGCGATGATGCTGATACTGATGATGCTGCTGATGATGATGAACGTGAGGCTGTTGGTGATGGTGATGGTGATAGTGATGCTGATGATGTTGGTGATGACGATGCTGAAAATGATGATGACACTGATTATGATGATGATGATGATGCTGATGATGATGCCGATGGTGATGATGCTGATGATGCTAATGATGCTGATGATGATGCTGACGATGATGATGCTGATGACGATGATGCTGCTGATGATGACGATGATGCGGATGATGATGACGACGATGCTGCTGATGATGACGATGCTGCTGCTGTTGCTGATGATGATGATGATGATGATGATGATGATGATTATGATGATGATGGTGATGATGGTGATGATGATGATGGTGATGACGCTTTCGACGACGACGACGGCGACGATGCTGAGAGGAGGGGGAGGGGGAGGAGGAGGATTCTCCCCGTCCCCGTCCTCGCCAGCGTCGGCGTCCGCCGGCTCGCCGTCGTCCTCGCTCTCGGGCGCCTCGGCCTCGCCGGCGGGGCGGGCGGCGGGGGGCCCTCGCGCTCCCGGGGGCGAGCGGGGGGAGGGAGGCGGCGCGAGGAGGGCGAGAGGGGGCCTCCCCAGACCCCCTCGGGTAATGAAAAAATCATGACGGGAGGTTTTTCCTAACTTTTTGGCCTTTCGAGGCCCTATCCGGCCCTCGGGACCGTCAAGAAACGATTCAGGATGAAAAACCGGTCCCGGGGAATGGGTCGAGATCTCTGGGGGTCGACGTCATGAAAAAATCATGACGTCGGGGATCTGGGTCGCGAGGGGTGCTCGGAAAACTCTTTCTTGATTCGCGGGTCGAGAGCGCACCTCTTCCGGTCGAAGCTAAGCGGGCCGCGCGAAGCTTGAATGAACAGAGGGGGGGGGGCAGAAGGAGCGCGGCCTCACGGCAGGCCGGGAGGAGGCAAAGCCTCGGGATCAGGCGGTGCCGAAAACGATGCTCGGAAAACTCCCAGGAGGCGCTTTCGGGGCCGGGGCTCGGGTTAGGTCGGGCACATCCTCCCCAGGGGCAGAGTGTGGAGGGAAAAGCAGAACAAAGTCCACACATCGAGAAAAGTATTCCAAAAAAGGCAAGGAAACACCGTCACCGGACTATGCAGGGGAGGAAGGGGGGGGGTTCTGGCTCCACCCCCCCCCCCCAGCGACCACAGAACGCGCTCCTTCGACTAGTTGTAACTGTTCTGGAATCCCAGACCCCCGACGTAATGATTTTTTCATTACGTCGACCCCCAGAGGTCCCGACCCTTTCCCCATGACCGGCTTTGCATCCTGAGTCGTTGTTTGACGCTCCCGAGGCCCGGTGAGGGCCCCCGGAGGCCGAAAATGAAGGAAAACTTCCCGTCATGATTTTTTCATTACTCGAGGGGGTCTGGGATCTTCCCCCTGGAGAGCCACAGGCCCGACTCGAAGGCTCGGCTCCCTGGGGCTGCGCGATCCGAGCCAGCCGTGGCGCGGCTCGCGCGGCCCCCCGCCGCTTGGGCCCCGGGCCTGCGCGGCCTGCGCAGATCGTCGCAGCGTCACAGCGGCCTGGGCGGCCTGCGCGGCCTGCGCACCCAGACCCCCTCGAGTAATGAACAAAATCATGACGGGAGATTTTCCTTCATTTTCGGCTTCCCGGGGCCCTCACCGGGCCTCGGGAGCGTCAAACAACGACTCAGGATGCAAAGCCGGTCATGGGGAAAGGGTCGGGACCTCTGGGGGTCGACGTAATGAAAAAATCATTACGTCGGGGGTCTGGGCATGTGGCCCCCTACAGAAGTCCAGATGGACTTCACCCTGAGCCCTCCACCCCAAGAAAGCGCTCAGCAAACCTTCGGTCGCGAGTTCTGGGTCACAGCGCGAGGGGCCCGGGGAGGGAGGCCCCCCGGGTGCTGCGCTGGAGGCCGCGGGGCGGCGCCTCCTCCCCAGACCCCGCTCGGGCAACGAACAGAGCATGACGGGAGGCCCGGGAAAAGGGCCTCCAGAGGCCGAGGGCAGCGAAAAGCCCGAGCATTTTCTTTGGGTGGAGGGCAAGGGGTGGAATCTGCAATGCCGTTTCGATGGGCTTTCGAGGCCGGCATCTGCAACGGGCGAATCACGAGGCGGATTGATCTTCGAGGTGCAGAACAGGGGTTCACATGCGACCCCTACCCCTACCCGAGCGAAGTGGACCCCACCCTCCCCCCCAGAAATCGTGGGGGGTAGGGGTAGGGTTCGCATGTGGCCCCCTGCAGAAGTCCATATGGATGTCACCTTGAGCCCTCCACCCTAAGAAAGTGCTCAGCAAACCTCCGGTCGCGACTTTTGGTCACGGCGGCAGGGAAGCGCCCCCCCCCGCCGCCCCCCCCTCGGCGAGGCAAGCGCCCCCCCCCCCCCCCGCCGCCCCCCCCCCTCGGCAGAGGGAGGCGCCCCCCCCCCCCCCCCTTGGCGCCGCCCCCGCCGCCGCGCGCCGCCGGGGCGCGCCGCGCACGGGCCTGCCACCGACAGCCGCTCGGGGAGCAGACCCCCTCGGGCAATGACAAAAATCACGACGCGAGGTTTTTCCTATCTTTCGGCCTCCTGGGGCCCTCACCAGGCGACGGGAGCGTCAACAAAAACGACTCGGGATGCAAAGCCGGTCATGGGGCAAGGGTAGAGACCAATGGGGGTCGACGTCGTCAAACAGTCATGACGTCGGGGGTCTGGGGGAGCAGCGGGGACGCCCTGCCGGGTGTGGGCCAGAGGCGTCCCGGGCCCAGGGCGTCTCCAGGGCCCCCAGGGATCAAGCAGTGGCGAAGCGTCCCGGCTCGCCTCTAGCAGACCCGACGGTACAGTGCCATTTTTAAAACATGCTCCGCGTGCGGATCATGTATTAAACATGCAGGGATGGATTTAGCATTAGAAACAACGATGACTTCATGCATGAATTTATCCATAAGTCAATCATGCATTTTAATCCTATAGTTTCAAAACATCCCATGTATTAAAAACTGCCCTATAAAATGTTCTGAGAACCTCCCGTGGTCTGCACGGGAGGCTCTGCGAGCAGTTCTGGCCGAGGCCGTCGTGATGGAACACATCGGCGTCTTGTTCTCAGGATCCTGCTGTTGATCGCAGCACACTCTTCTGTTCCAAGAAAATTTCGCGGGGGCATGCATCGAAGAAGAAACAACGCCACACACATAAACGTTTGGCGCTCCGCGTGGATTTCTTGGATCCGCGCGGCGCCCTCCCAGGCGGCGCCTCCGGCGCCGCTCCTGGCGCGCTCCGCTCGGCAGGGAGAGATCCGCGCGTTCAGCGCGGATCCAAGAAATCCGAGCAGAGCGCGAAACCCAGACCCCCGACGTAATGTTTTTTTCGTTACGTCGACCCCCAGAGGTCCCACCCTTTCGTTACGTCGACCCCCAGAGGTCCAGACGTAACGTTTTTTTCATTACGTGGACCCCCCTCCCTGGCGCGCGGAGCGCGCCAGGGGCCGCAGCGCCGATCCGAGAAATCAGCGCGGACCTCCGATTTTTTATGTTTATGCCATTTTTTGTTCCCCTAACTTCCCCCGAAGTTTCTTGAGACAGCCCTGGGCCAGGTTCTATGGCGCAGGCTGGAGGGCGGCCGTGCTCAAGAAGCTGTGCCAGCTTTCCAGCAAGTTGGCCAAGACGCGCTGGCCCAGCTTTTCAGGAGGGGGCGTCTCGATCAGATGCTCCACTGTACGGTGGCAAGCTGTGCCCACAGACCTCACCGCGCGGTCCGTCACCGCACGGCTTTGGGACCTCGGGGGCCCCAGACGCCCCAGACGCCCAGCCGCCGGGGACCTCGGAGGCCCCCGCCGCCCAAGACCGTGCGGTTACCCCGAGCCCCCACTGGCTCAACACACGGAAAGGTCACCACACCGTTCCATGGCATTCTCTGGCTGCACGGTTTCCCCTGGAGCCGTAGGCGACCCGAGGAGGAGGAGGAGGAGGCGGAGGAGGAGGAGGAGAAGGAGGAGGAGGGGGAGGAGGAGGAGGAATAGGAGGAGGAGGGGGAGGAGGAGAAGGAAGAGGAGGAGGAGGAGGAGGAGGAGGAGGAGGAGGAGGAGGAGGAGGAGGAGGGGTCGCCTAAGCCCTTCGGAGAAACCCTCCACCTTCGGCATGATTTTTTCAATCCGCTGCTCCAGAGAACTCACGACCCCTTCCTCGGAGGTAACTCTTTGTGCCATCCGGCCCGTGAACGGGCACCAGAGGCCGACATCGAGGCACTCGTTTTGCCGCCGCCGGCGAGGCAGAGGCAACCCTCCTCAGCGCGGGGCCAGTCGGGGCAAGCGGTGGCAAATTGTCCAGCGTGCAAGAGAGAGGGAGAGAGAGAGAGAGAAAGAGAAACAAAAAAAAGCGACGACGAGGGCGGCCGCGCGCGAAATCGAGGAACCCCCGCCACCTGCAATCCCAGACCCCCGACGTCATGACTTTTTTCATGACGTCGACCCCCAGAGGTCTCGACCCGTTCCCCACGAACGGTTCTTCATCCTGAGTCGTTTTTTGACGCTCCCGAGGCCCGGTGAGGGCCCCCGGAGGCCGAACATTTAAGGAAAAAAGCCCGTCATCATTTTTTCATTGCTCGAGGGGGTCTGGGAATAGAGAGAGAGAGAGAGAGAGAGACAGAAGCGAAGACGAGGAAGGCCGCGCGCGAAATCGTGGAACCTCCGCCACCTGCAATCATCAAATCCTCGGATATCTGGGCCTTGGGGAGGAGGAGGAGGAGGAGGAGGAGGAGGAGGAGGAGGAGGAGGAGGAGGAGAGGAGGAGACACACAACGAGGAGAGGAGGAGGAGAAGGAGGAGGAGGAGGAGAGGAGGAGGAGGAGGGAGGAGGAGAAGGAGGAGGAGGAGGAGGGGAGGAGGAGTGAGGAGGAGGAGGAGGAGGAGGAGTGAGGAGGAGGAGGAGGAGGAGGAGGAGGAGGAGGAGGAGGAGGAGTGAGGAGGAGGTGAGGAGGAGGAGGAGTGAGGAGGAGTGAGGAGTGAGGAGTGAGGAGGAGGAGGAGGAGGAGGAGGAGGAGGAGGAGGAGGAGGAGGAGAAAGAGGGGTCGCCTAAGCCCTTCGGAGAAACCCTCCACCTCCGGCATGATTTTTTCAATCCGCTGCTCCAGAGAACTCACGACCCCTTCCTCGGAGGTAACTCTTTGTGCCATGCGGCCCGTGAACGGGCACCAGAGGCCGACATCGAGGCACTCGTTTTGCCGCCGCCGGCGAGGCAGGGGCAACCCTCCTCAGCGCGGGGCCAGTCGGGGCAAGCGGTGGCAAATTGTCCAGCGTGCAAGAGGAGAGAGAGGGAGAGAGAAAAAAAAAAGCGAAGACGAGGGCGGCCGCGCGCGGAATCGAGGAACCCCCGCCACCTGCAATCCCAGACCCCCGACGTCATGACTTTTTTCATGACGTCGACCCCCAGAGGTCTCGACCCGTTCCCCACGAACGGTTCTTCGTCCTGAGTCGTTTTTTGACGCTCCCGAGGCCCGGTGAGGGCCCCCGGAGGCCGAACATTCAAGGAAAAAACGCCCGTCATCATTTTTTCATTGCTCGAGGGGGTCTGGGAAGAGAGAGAGAGAGAGAGAGAGAGAGAAAGAGAGAGACAGAAGCGAAGACGAGGAAGGCCGCGCGCGAAATCGAGGAACCTCCGCCACCTGCAATCATCGAATCCTCGGAGATCTGGGCCTTGGGGAGGAGGAGGAGGAGGAGGAGGAGGAGGAGGAGGAGGAGGAGGAGAGGAGGAGGAGGAGGAGAGGAGGAGGAGGAGGAGGAGGAGGAGGAGGAGGAGGAGGAGGAGGAGGAGGAGGAGGAGGAGGAGGAGAGGAGGAGGAGGAGGAGGAGGAGGAGGAGGAGGAGGGAGAAGAGTGAGGAGGAGGAGGAGGAGGAGGAGGAGGAGGAGGAGGAGGACGAGAGGAGGAGGAGGAGGAGGAGTGAGGAGTGAGGAGGAGGAGGAGGAGTAGTAGGAGGAGGAGGAGGAGGAGGAGGAGGAGGAGGAGGAGGAGGGGGAGGGGTCGCCTAAGCTCTTCGG